CATCTGGGACTGGCTCTGGGAACAGATGACTGGATGAAGGGTATGGTGTCTCTCACTGGGTGCCTTGTCCTAGGCCCTGGGCTGAGAGGTTGGAAGGATGGAGTGGCCAACCAGCCCAGCCTCTTACCTGGGGACAGTGCACAGGTAGGAAAGCAGCTTGGTGACCTCTGAGGCTGTGCACCATGGTGCCTCCCAGGCCCCCTGGGGGGTTGACACCAGAAGCAGGGGCCGCCCAGCCCTGTCCCGACCACCTGGAGGAGAGAGGACACACATGTGCAGTGAGAACTTTGGTGCAATCCTCTCTACTGGGACCTCTCTGTGGCCTCCAGGCCTTTGCCCACACTGGTCCCTTCCTACCCCCACCTCCACCCCCACCTCTACCCCCACCTCCACCCATTAATTCTAAACTCCTATTCATCCTTCAAAACCCAGCTCAAAAGCCACTTCCTCAGAAAAGTCATCCCTGAATTCCTCCTCCATGCAGCGGTAGCCTCGCCTCCGTCCTGGGCACCCTGGAGGTAATGGGCACCCTGGAGGTAATCTGTCCTCCCACAGTCTCCTGTATGGCCCCATCGTAACAAGTTTTTTTACATTGTTGTAGTAACCTGTTGAATTTTCTCCTCCACTAGAATATAGACTTTTTGAGAGCAGAGAACACATCAGACTTGCTCCCTGCTGAATCCTCAGTGCTAAGCTCAGGGCCTGACGCACAGCAGGTGTTCAGCAAATACTAATTGCAAAGGTGAATAAATATTAAACAGAAACGATAATGCCCTCTGTGCTGGATGCTGTTAATGCCCCACCCAGACCCCCTCATCAAGACAGGGCACTCATCTTCCCACGGCCATACGTATTGGCTGTAAATGGCTCACAGATGCCCTCTTCTCTGAAGACGTGCCCTCGGCTCAACTGGAGCCTGGGCTCACCCTGCCTCCCATCCCAGGATCAGCCCGGGTTGATGACTAACAGATGCCCGCACAAACGGCCAGTTGCCTGCACCTTAAGATGGAACCAGCTCTGTGGGATCAGGCCACATCCTTGCTTAGCTCCTCCCCCACCCTGACCTGCTTCCCTCACTCCCCTTCTGAGAGTAACCTTCAATAGGATCGCTGTCTCTGGCTCAGTTTCTAGGGAATCTGACCTAAGACAAACACCTTCCCTGCCTTATTGAGAGTAGAATGTATGTACACGAGTAGATTAATGGGTAGGTGGAAGGATGATGGATGGATGGATGGATGGATGGATGGATGAATGGATGGATGGATGGATGGATGGATGGATGGATGAATGGATAGGTGGGTGGATGGATGTTTGGATGGATAGATGGGTGAATGGGTGGTTACGTGGATGGATGGATGAATATTTGGATGGATACCTAGAAATTGCTTTCATGCAGGGTGGGGCAAAGGTAGGTTTACAGTTGTGAGTACATGAGACACAGAGTCTATTTTTGTATTATTATTTATTACTTATTGTATTATTTTCCATATGAACAACTGTAAATCTACTTTTGCCCCACTCTGTATAATCCAACATCTTCATTGGAAAGATGAGAAAACTGAGGCTCAGTCCAGAACACAGGTCTCCAGAGCTTTCCATGTCTTCCCCCACACCCACCAACATCTGAGGATGCCCAGGGACCTCACCCCCCCACACATACCCTCCCCCTCCACCTGCCCCTATAATCATGAGGACCTGGCAGGCACGCTATCCGGGAGTGGATGATCTCCATACTCAGAGCCCTGATGCTGGGCTCGGGCCCTGGTGGCTCCTCATCCAGAGTGGGGCCTCTTTCTGTAGAAGCTTCTGGGAAACCAGCCTTTCCTCCAGCCAGTGGGCCTGAGTCAGCAGCGGGGCCAGATGTTTTGGTCTGAGTTGTTCCAGCTGGGGAAAAGCAACAACAAAGGAAAGGGTGTTAAGCAGAAGATGGATTTTCCCGGGGTGGGGGGGTGAGGGGGTGGGGGGAAGAGGAATGTCCTTCTGACTGAGAATGATAGCTTACAACTATTGATCTCCTACTGTGTGCCAGGCATTGTGCAAAGCTCCTGCCTTCTGATGTCTCTTTGAACCTCAAAACAACTGTGATGCCCGGCTGGCGTGGCTCAGTGAGTGAGCGTCAACCTGTGAACCAGGAGGTCATGGTTTAATTCCCGGTCAGAGCATAGGCCCCGGTTGCAGCTCGATCCCCAGTGTGGGGCTTGCAGGAGGCAGCCGATCAATGACTCTCATCATTGATGTTTCTATCTCTCTCTCCCTCTCCCTTCCTCTCTGAAACCAATAAAAATATATTTAAAACAAACAAACAAACAAACAAAC